GGTTTCGAACTCTTGACCTGCCACTTGGTGGGGGTGACAACCTAACCACTACACTAGATCGCCACACCCCTTTAATACTTCTATGTTAATCTTCAATTCATGAATTTAAAACACATAATATTGCTCTACTAAGGCTCATTATAATGTCATATGATTTCGAATTATGATATGGTTATAATTATTTTCAGATTGAATTTGCTATATTCACTTAATTTATATATTTATATGTATTAATTATATTACCATATTATAACAATCATGATGAGTAATACTAATAATAATACTAATCCAAGTGAAAAATTTTCTCAATTATACGAGGTGCTTTTATATAAGAAAAAAGATATAACAGCTATTCAGAAAAAACATGGTATTAACAATAATATAAATCAAATAGCAGTGTTGGAGAGTAAGAAAGCAAAAGAACTTGCTGATTCATATGAATTGCTGTTAGAATTGGTAAGGGATTTAATATCTATACAGATGAAACTTGGTATAGATATCAATTCCATTTTAGAAGCAGAACTTAGAAAGAATAAAGCCTCTTTAGATAAACCAATTAGATTATTTGATTTGCTTTTATGCTTAGAAGATAATATAGCGACAATTTAGAAAGAACTTGGTATTGTCAGTTACACTAATCAAGAAATGGCAGAAGAAGCTGATAAAAATACAAGAGTGTACTTCCGAAAGTTTGAAGAATTTCATGGTCTCTTAGAAGATATTTCAAGTGTGTTAATACAGAAATTCATTGATAGTAGGGTAAAGAAATTTTGGTTTACTAGTGAGGGACTACTATTATTTCTAAATGTCTCTTTTTAACAAATATATAAGATTTTTGTCAAAAAATCAGCTAGTGACAATCAGTGCTTATGTCTAGAATCAAAAATAAAACAAGGAAAATTATCACAGATATATATATATCACAGCAAATAAAAATTCTTTGTTAGGATGCAGCGACCTAGTGAAGTGGTAGAGTTGCTGCATCCCCAAGCAGCAGGTCTAGAGTTCGAATCCCACAGACAACGATTTTGAAAATTAGGCCTGTGATACAGTTAACAGTTATCAATGATCAGTTGGGCTTAGATATCTGTAATCTTGGTCACACCATCTCGAATGGGAGCTTTGGTACAATAAATCCAGAGAACCGGAATAACCAAAAACCCGTTTGGCAAAGTCCCGAGTTGGGAGTAGCAGTGATCTTTGACAGTACTACAGAAAGGCTGGATTCGGAACTGAAGACTGAGACCAGAGAACTGAACGACCAGGTCCTTTAGTGGAGGGACATACCAGCTGAACTGCCAGAACACCAACCGGAGGAAAAGGACATGTGCTCTGAAAACATGTACCAAGGGAAGAGTGACTGTGAGGCACTTAGAGTCTGGGTAGACCAACCCTTCCGGGTTGCAGGCTGGAAGTAAGGGAGGAACCGGTAAAGAATCCAGGAAAGAAGAAGGTTTGAATGTAGGTACCGGGGTTGTTGTGAATCTTACAAGGGCAAGAGTAAGTAACAGGTAACTAAATTAGAAAGGTTGTGGCTTGAGATACGAACCGGGTTGCGGCAGCATTCAAAGATAGCTTAAGATACGAACCGGGTGATAGCAGCATAGCATGTACTAGTTAAGGGAAATGTTACCAAACACGCAGATGAGCACATGTGTGAGACATGTACCATTCTGTTAGGTTTACTACAAGGATAAATACCCCCTATTTTGAAAAAAATGAGTGTAGGTTTGGCTAAAGTCTTAGGGTTTTTAATGGTAAATTACCCCGAAAGGGTATATTAGGAGGAAGTATAGGACAGAGGTTGTACCAAAGAGTTTAAATAGATAGATTCCTAGTTAGGCTATAGGTATGGCAGCTAGTGTAGAACTTTCAGGTGGACTACTTAAATTAGATAACCAAAAGTTGTACGTGTGGCTAGTTGTACTCTTGTAATACTGATATAACATGTGGTCAAGTCTTCGGACATATGGCCTAACTGCTTGTACTAATAAAGTGCCAAGGGCCTAAATAGTCACTTTAATATTAAAAAAAAAAATATTAAAATTTTGGATATCAGAGAGTTTAAATGAGTAACCCCCTAGTTGGGTTATAGGTATAACATCTAGTATAGAACCTTCGGGCAGATTACTTAAATAGGTACCCAAAAGGTACACGTATGGCTTGATGTACTCTTATAGTTCTAGAAATATACTACAGCATGTAACAATATAAATGTAATAACATTTAACGTTACTCCTAATAAAGTTCGCCTATCATGGCAATTCGGCAAAATAAAAAAAAAAAAAAAAATATTAAAATTTTAATAGTTATTATTATTGCTAATATAAAAATAAACAAACATATACTACAAATCACATATTGTATTATTTTTGATTGTTCTTTACAATGATTAGATGATAATTATTGTATAATGAAGAAATATATAAAATAGTAAATTATAATCATTTTTGCAATCTTGTATTATAATAAAACTTAATTTAACAAAAAAAAAATACATACAACTTATAATTCAAAAGTGTCTAAATTTTTTTTTTGCTACAAAAATGGTGTATTACTAGAGTGTAAGCTGGGTATATAATATTAGTTCTTTCTTAGCCTTTTGTAGCAATAAAAGTAAATAAAATATTGTATTTGTAAAAAAATTAATAAAATTTTATTATTTACCTATTAGTATACTGACTTAAAAGAGTTTTTAAACTAAACAATCTTTTAGTACTATTTAATTATTATTGAAATATAGTTTTATAAAAAAAGCAAAAAGTATTTAACAATTTAAGTTTTATTATTTTTTTTATATTTAGAAACTTTGATTTAGTACTAAAAGTTAAGTAAAAAAAGCTTTACTCATATGAATATAAACAAAAACATTGTTTTAAATTTATAAAAATTAGTTAACAAGTACTAGTCTAAAATAATTTTATACAATAAGCTAAAATTAGAAGTTTTTTGAATTAGATAATACACAATATTATCAAAAGTATTTTAAAAAAGATTAATTTGTCTTTATATTAAAGATTTGGAATAGATTTACAAGAATATAATACTATATTATATTTTATAGTATTAATAGCTTTTGCAAAGTCAAATATGCAATGAATATTAAATTACATTAAAATATTTTTTATTATTATTTTGTAGAAATAATTAAAAATCACAAATTTGCTATTTAAAAAAAATAATTCTAAACTATTTGTTTTTTTATTTTGATAATTACTTACTCAAATGAATTCTTCTTCAATTTTATAATTTTCATTAATCTAGAGAATAAACTGAAAAAGATTTATCTTTGTTAGCAAAAAGAAGCTAGCAAAGATAATGATTACTATAGAATACAATATTTATAAAATATTAGTATAAAAATAATTAGACAAAGGTTTTTAATTAGCATCCTTGTCATCTAAACTTAATCTTTTAAATATTTGTAGGTCAAGATTTACTATTAACTTAGGAATAATTTGGGTTAATTTTAAGTAAAAAAGATTCTTAGAGCAAAATTCAAATAGTCAAGTTAAAAATCAAAGAAAAAACCCATATCATCAGATTTACCTCAATGCCAGAACAAGTTCATGAAGCTATCAAGGCACAAGATGGTTGTACTACGTTGTGGCAGCCATAAAATATTAAAGTAAAAAAAAAATTTTTTTCTATATGTAAAAAAAAATTTTTATGTTTTATATTCATGTTGTGTGTCTGTGAAAGATTTGTCTCATTAATACTTTTTAAGATTTTAATACATGAATACTGTACTATTTATGAGCAAAATAAAAAAAAAGTAAAAGGATACAACCGGAATTGCACGAAATAATGCAATTTAACCAAAAAAATTTTATTGTTGCATTAATGATCGCCAGTGTATACGTATACGTACTCTAAATTATAATTTACTGTATATCCTTTTTAATATATAATACTGTATATATATATATATATATATATATACTGTATATATGTATTTTAATATAATTTTTAGTATTTTTTTTTTTAACAAGTTTTGCTAACACTATTTCTCAAAACGTACTACTGTACTAAGTAAACAGGATTGGGTATTCTAAGTAAAATGTTCAGGACCCCTGAAAACATCATGAGAACTGAAATCGGGACCTTATATCTAATTTACATAATATTATATTTTAAAAAGTTAATATATTTTTTTTTATACTTGGTAACATGCATTATATGTAAATTTTAGTTATCATTATAATAAAGTTCAGATTTTATCATAGCCAATTTTAACATAAGCTAATTTTAGCCACATTGAATGCTTTAGGCGCATACGTATAATATATCACTATGTATTCCCTATAACATGCACTTATAAATTCTGAAATTGGCGAACAAATTATCATGAGTTATCGATTTTTGAGAGAATCAATTTTGAGAAAAGAATTGCATATACTGAAACTTTTAAATAAAAAGCTTGAAATCTCATATGAAAATGTTTGATGCTACTAGACCGCTCATATCATATAATTGAATATTAATAAAATTTGTAGTTTATTTAATTCAAAAAAGTAACAATATTACAAAAAGTCCATATTCAAGCTACTCTTTTAGGCTTTAAATGTTTGGAGGATTTGATGGTAGCAGTTTTAGCATTTTGAATATCATAATGAGTCTTAGGATAAAGTTTCTGACGAACATCCGACTTTGTCTTTATAACATGTGAGTTATCTGACGGCTTGGTAGTATTTTTCTTAGTAACGACTCTGTTTGAGGCGGCTGTTATTGGTATTGGGGTCCGTGATGCAGCTAATGTAGAGCCCGACTTAGCTTTTGTTGCTTTTGTCACAGGTATGGAGGTCCGTGACGAAGCTAATGTAGGACGTGAGTTAGGCTTTGAATTATTATTCGGTACAACGGAGTTACCCTTCCTTTGAGAGGTACCAACGGTAGGATATGGTTCATGACGTAAATTATTTTTTAAACCAATTTGATCACTTCTCGGCCTAATCGTACTCGACGCTTGTTGTTTAAAAACTGGACGATTATTCGGTACAACTTGATCACTTCTCGGCCTAATCGTACTCGACTCTTGTTGTTTAAAAACTGGACGATAATAATCATTCTTTTCATAATTTCGTCGCAGCTTCTGAAGGGGTGTCATTTTTTGCCAACCTAAAACGGAAATGATCCCGATTAGTTACATCGATTTAAAATAACATGAAATAAAAATGACCAAAGTTTTACCCGATGACTTCCTCTTTCTGTATTTGAATCGGATAAAATAGTTTAGCACAGAAGACATATAAATAGGAATTATAGACATATGTTTAATAGTATTTCACCTAGATGGATCATGTAAACCGGGTAGAATTTTTATTTTCTTTTCTTCTTTTTGTTTATCGTGTTGTTTTTTAGATTGTCGCAATTTTTCAAGAGCACTAGCTAATCTTTCCTCTTGTTCTTCTTTTGATCTCTATAACAAGAAAGAAACATTAATTAATGATATTAAATTTCACTAACATTTGATTAAACAAGTTATTACCCAATAAAGCTGACGCCAATCTTCATTATCGGAGTCAATAATGTTTCTTGAGGAGTTTGGATGAGCACGGATATAATGATCCTTCCACAATTCCATGTCTTCATCCATGAGGTGCGGATTTGCTTCTTCTAAATTCCTTAATTCATCCGGCGTACAATGTCGAAGGACCCGTTTTAACAAATAATAAGGCGCCTTACCCACTTTATATAGAACTACGTAATTTTGAAATTTTATTTTTAAATGATTATGAGACCGCTTAAAACTTTCACAGGAATATATGTACAAGACTTACGATGCTTATGAGAAATTAATTTCTTATAACAAAACTCAAGGAGTCTCGGAACTCCTTTTTTCGTAACCGCACGACTTAAAGCTGACTTTGAAGACATGCTTATTGCAAGTTATTTCGTAATATGATTAGCTGTAAACTATTATAGCAATATAAAATGGGTTCTTAAAAAGATAAAAGAGTCATTTACCTTATAAGAGAAATAATAATAATTAAAAATTTTATATATAATCTATATGACTGGTACTATCAAAAAAAAGCGAATTACGCGAATACAGCATACTGGAATGACAATTAAAAACTTTAAATATATTGCATACAAAATACTCGCAGTATTGCAATGAAATGAAAAAAAAAGAGGTACAATAGCACACCTACGCCGCGTAAATTTGAAAACGAAGCTTTAGACGTGAAAGAGCGACTTTCAAGTGTATAATTTGAGTAAAAAAAAATAGAATAAGTAGTCTTTAAATATAAACATAAATAAATGTAACTATGTAAGTCATATTTTAATTGTTATTTTAAAAAAAGTAAAACGTGTTCAAGAATACTCTAAACCAAAAAGATGAAAAAAAATATAGAATTCGAGTGGCTGTACGGAACATATCGAGGTTGACAATGATAGCCAGAATTTTATTATAAAATCTGTCTGTCATCGTGTAACGATGCACTGAAACTTCCAATTTAAATAGGTTTGCTTCCGTAATCTTTGGCAATAGCGCATTTATCACTATTAATAACGATAATAAATCCGTACTTATCGTTATTTATTGCCTAAAGCCAATTTTCACGTATTACATACATTTATATCCCACATGGGACTAAGCCCAGCTTATTCTATTGCTATATGCGGTTGTGGCACTGTAAACCCCGCACTCTTTCAATGAACAAAAAGTTATAGTCGTTTATACTTGACTGATTTATGCACGTTGACAGCATTTTTTGTATCACGATTTAATATTTATAACAAAAAGAGGTGCATAATCCAGAGCAAAGATAAAAAGTGTAAAAAAAGAAGCTAGTCTTTTGTTCCCGCTTAAAAGTTCCAAACGCTTTTAAGTGGACATAATTTAGGTACACTACTTACCTTCCCAGGTATTTTCGTATCGATAAAGTTCTCAGTAACACTTTTGTGCCCCGTGCTCGCATTTTTGTAACGTAGAAGTGGTGTTCCGGCGTGAGTAAACCTTACCAGTCTTAGCAAGTACGTACGTACCTGAGTCTTATCTTTAAAAGTTGCCCTGTATATCATATCGCAGATTTATTACTATGTACGTAGCACAAGCATTTTAAATGAGATCGTTCTATTTTAACATATATCTGTGTTCGGGGGGATCCGTATTATTTCACCGACAATCACTCATAGACACCATATTTCATTGGGGTGTCAACAATCAGTTTAATCACAAACATATGGCAAGAAAATCATTATTGAAGATTTTTTTTAAAAATTTTAAATTATATTAAATTATTAATAAAAAATGCTTTCGCGCAAACTTTAATAACTTTTGTTATATTGATTTTTTTTTAATTCTGCGAGTTGATATTTATTCTTTAAGAGTGTCTCTATCAAGTAATAACCGCTTATTTTTTAAATATTTATACCTTTGTTAAAGTATTATAAAATTTCTTATACATTATAATAAAGTTTCTTATAATTTCTATATACGTTATAATAAAAATTTATTATAAATAATACAATTCAAAAAAATCACTAATGATTTTTATTATATGTCTTGCTCTAAGTTTGTGATTAAACTGATTGTTGACATCCCAATATTTCATCGACAATTATTCACCGACAAGTTCATTTTACCAACAGTCTATTTCACCTAAGTTCATTTCATCGACAAGTGTTTTTTTTTATAAATTACACTAACTTAAACTTTAGTTCTAACCTGACCCTAATGATATTGACCAGAATTACTTTGTCTATAAAATGAACTTCGGTGAAATAAACTGTCGGCGAAGTGAACTTGTCGGTAAGTAATTGTCAGTGTCTATGAAGTGATTGTCGATGAGTTGATCGGATCCCGTTCGGTGGGTATATACAGTAGTATATACAGTATATTAATATTAAAACCTGTAAATCATTTCACTTATTATCGTTCTACATACCCCTGAGGCAAGGTTGTTAAATTGTGGCTGATTAGACCTATTACAGTCGCACCTCGATATAGTCACACCCGATATAGTCACAAACTCGATATACAGTCTGCCCTCCATACAGTCACTCTCTATATAGTTACATCCTCTTTATAAGAACACTAATTTTTAGAACAAACTTATATAAAACATGAGAAATTTGACCTCTATATAGGCACAATTGCTTATAAGCACAAAATTTCTTGGAACCAAAGGCGTGACTGTAGAGAGGTTTAACTGTAGTTATAACATAAAATTTTCAAAGTGACCCAGCAACCTGGCTTTGAAAAAATTTTATATATAAAAAAACATATAAAATTTTTTATAGATTTTTTTAAAAAACTCACCCAAACAGTAAATATACTTAAAATTTTTTTAAAAAATTTGTAAGTTTTGACCTAGCTAGGTTATAGAAACCAAATCATTAAGGTTGTATAGCCTTACTATACTCTTAATATAGTCATAAACATAATATAATCATAGTTACTAAATTTAATATTACAATGATTATTAAGTATATAATAAATTTAAAGTATATTTATTTCTTAATTAGAGTAAAATTTGATATTACTCATCTCTATTAGTAATGCAAATAGCTTGGTTTAGCTTGGCTTATAGCTAATATTTACTAAGCCAAGCCAATTCTTTGGCTCTACAATTAAAGCTAAGTTATATATAAGCTGATTACTCTTGAGCCAAGCTATTTATAAGCTAATTATTCTTGATACAATTTAAATTATGATATTTGATAATCTACTATTAGCTAATAGTTAGTTATTTTTATAATTAATACTTTATTAGTAAACCTATAGCCAAGTTAATGATTGGCTTTAAAGTCTTAGCCAAACTATTTTTAGAGCCAATACTTTATTAATAAATCTATAGCTAAGCTAATAATTAGTTCTGTTTAGCTATTTAGTTTGTAGCTTAGCTCTAGCTATTTGTATCACTAATTCTTATAAAATTATCCAATAAATATACAAAATTAGATATAATATATATATATATAATATATAAATTATTTTTATATAATAAAACAAAAACAATTTTTTAAAAAATCATTAATTATTTTACTATTTTGCTTATAAAACTACTTTTTAAATTCTAACAAAAAAAATTCTTTATATGATTTTATATATAATATACTCTACTCTAATTTGCTAATATTTTAAATTTAATTATTTTTTTTAAAAAAATAATGAGAGAAGTAAATAATTTATCTAGATAGTAAATAAATTATTTTATAAATTTATTCAATATAATTACCAATTATATAAGCAAAAATTAATATCTTATAAAAAATCTATATATATATAATATATACAGTATATATCTATTCTACAATATCTCTATAGTTACATATATTCTAAATACACACTTTGCTTTTTTTTATTACCAAAATTTGCAAGGGAATTACTATTGATTTTAATCAATTATTAAATAGTAATCATTTTTAATCTTCACTATTAAGAACTATCAATTTTGATAGTAATCGATATAAATCAATATATATCAGATTAAAAATTCTAAATT